CTACTAAAAATACTGTATCTTATTTTGGCTCATTAACCTCCAAGGAATTTCAAAGTCTACAAGGGGTTTTGGTGGGGTTTTTTTGTAATTTTTAGTAGTGGCAAAATATATATAATTAATTTATTATGTTTACCTTTTTTTTTTTTTTTTTTTTTTTTTTTTTTTGAGACGGAGTCTCACTCTGCCGCCCAGGCTGGAGTGCAGTGGCCGGATCTCAGCTCACTGCAAGCTCCGCCTCCCGGGTTCACGCCATTCTGCTGCCTCAGGCTCCCGAGTAGCTGGGACTACAGGCGCCCGCCACCGCGCCCGGCTAGTTTTTTGTATATTTTAGTAGAGACGGGGTTTCACCATGTTAGCCAGGATGGTCTCGATCTCCTGACCTCGTGATCCGCCCGTCTCGGCCTCCCAAAGTGCTGGGATTACAGGCTTGAGCCACCGCGCCCGATGTTTACCATTTTTTTAATGTACAGGTCAGTAGTGTTAGGTACATTCGCATTGTTGTACAGCCAATCTCCAGAATTCTTTCATCTTCCAAAACTGAAACTTTATAGCTATTAAACAACTTCATTTCCCCACTCCCCCAGTCCCTGACAACCACCATTCTACTTTCTGTCTCTGAATTTGACTGCACTAGGTACCTAATATAAGTGGAATTATATAGTATTTTTCTACTTGTGACTAGCTTATTTCACTTAGCATTATATCCTCAATGTTCATCCATGTTATAGCATGTGTCAGAACTTCCTTTTCAAAGCTGAATAATATTGTATTGTATGTGTACACCTTATTTTGTCTACCCATACATCTGTCAGTGAATACTTAGGTTGCTTCCAGTTTTTGGCTATTGTGAATAATGCTGCTATGAACATGAGTGTTCAAATAACCTCTTCAAGACCCTGCTTTCAGTTCTTTTGGTTATATACTTAGAAGTAGAATTGCTAGATCATATGGTAATTCTATTTTTACTCTTTTGGGGAACCTCCATGCTGTTTTCCGTAGCAGATACACCATTTTACTTTTCCACCAATGGTGCACAAGAGTTAGTTTCTCCACATGCTCGCAACCACTTGTTCTTTTCTGGGGTTTTTTGTTCATTTGTTTTGGATAATAGCCATCTTAATGAGTGTGAGGTGGTATCTCATTGTGGTTGTGGTTTTTATTTCCATAATGATTAGTAATATTGAACATCTTTTCATGTGTTTGTTGGCCATTTGTATGTCTTCTTTGGAGAGACGTCAAGTTCTTTGCCCATTGTGTGTGTGTGTGGCTTTTCTTTTCTTTTCTTTTTTTTTTTTTCTTTGAGACAGAGTTTCACTTTTGTTGCCCAGGCTGGAGTGCAATGGTGCGATCTCGGCTCACCGTAACCTCCACCTCCCAGGTTCAAGCGATTCTCCTGCCTCGGCCTCCCGAGTTGCTGGGATTACAGGCATGCATCACCATGCCCAGCTACTTTTCTCGTCTTTTTAGTAGAGACGGGGTTTCTCCATGTTGGTCAGGCTGGTCGCAGACTCCCGACCTCAGGTGATCCACCCGCCTCGGCCTCCCAAAGTGCTGGGATTACAGGCATGAGCCACTGTGCCCACCCGTGTTGCCCATTTTTTAAATCAAGTTGTTTTTTGTTGTTGAGTTGTAGGAGGTCTTTATATATTCTAAATTTTGATGTTGTTTTTATTTTGTTTTTGTTTGTTTGTTTTTTGAGACAGTCTCACTGTGTCACCCAGGCTGGAGCGCAGTGGCACAATCTTGGCTCCCTGCAACCTCTGCCTCCCGGGTTCAAGCAATTCTCGTGTCTCAGCCACCCAAGTAGTTGGAATTACAGGCATGCGCCACCACACCTGGCTATTTTTTGTATTTTTAGTAGAGACATGGTTTCGCCATGTTAGCCAGACTGGTCTCAAACTCCTGGCCTCAAGTGATAGACCTACCTTGGCCTCCCAAATGCTAGGATTACAGGCATGAGCCACCATGCCCAGACTATTCTGAATACTAACTCATTAGATAAATGATTTGCAGATAATTCCTCCCATTCCACAGGTTTTCTTTTTACTCTATTGATTGTGTCATTGGGCTACAAGATATTTTCAGGTCGGGCATGGTGACTCATGCCTGTAATCCCAGCACTTTGGGAGGCTGAGGCAGGAAGATCACTTGCGGTCATGAGTTCGAGACCACCTTGGCCAACATGGCAAAACCTTGTCTCTACTAAAAATACAAAAAAAAAAAAAAAGTAGCTGGGCATCATGGTGCATGCCTGTAATCCCAGCTACTTGGGAGGGTAAGGCAGGAAGATCGCTTGAACCCAGGAAGCAGAGGTTGTGGTGAGCCAAGACTGCACCAGTGCACTCCAGCCTGGACAACAGAGTGAGACTCCTTCTCAAACAAAAGAAAAAAAAGATGTTTTCGGATTAACTAAGTTGTTGTAAAGATATTTTATTAGTAAGTAGGGAAGCACAAATTAATAGTATGATAATGATAAAGTACAACCTTCATTCATCAGATCAACTTTTGGCAAGTATGTAGGGAAATGGATACATTACTGCATTGTTAGGTAGAAGTATATCTTGGCACAGCCACTTTGGAGGGCAATTTGGCTATATCCATTTTTTTTTTTTTTTTTAAGCCAGAATCTTACTCTGTCGCCCAGGCTGGAATGCAGTGGCATGATCACGGCTCTCTGCAACCTCTGCCTCCCAGGTTCAAGTGATTCTTTTGCCTCAGCCTCCTGAGTAACTAGGGTTACAGGCACCCACCACCATGCCCAGCTATTTTTTGTGTTTTTAGTAGAGATGGGGTTTTACCATGTTGGCCAGACTGGTCTCAAACTCCTGACCTCAAGTGATCCACCTGCCTCGGCCTCCCAAAGTGCTGGGATTGCAGGCATGAGCCACCTTGCCTGGCCACTATATCCATTTTAATTAAAAAATATTTCTATCCTATGACCTAACAATCCCATTGCTAGGAATCACTTTCACATGGGTATAGGGAGATATGTGCAAGGATGTTCACTGCAACATTATTTTTAGTTGGTAAAAAGGAAAACAACTAGAAAAATGCCATTAATATAATACCATTTATGTTAAAACAGAAAGCAATATTATATGTTTTCTGGTAGTATAAACACCAGATTATTAACATATTAATAAATTCAGAAAGATCTGGAAATGGTAACTGTGGCTGCCAGAATGCACTAGAATTGGTCCTTATAACCATGTAATGTTTTTAAAAATAGTTTTTACAAGATAAATGTGTTTATATGTTACTTAGTTTTTATTTTTTATTTGTTTATTTATTTATTTAGAGACAAGAGTCTAGCTCTGTCGCCCAGGCTGGAGTGCAGTGACACAATCTCAGCTCACTGCAACTTCCGCCTCCCGGGTTCAAGCAATTCTCCTGCCTCAGCCTCCCGAGTAACTGGGATTACAGGTGCCCACCACCACGCCCAGCTAATTTTTTTATTTTTAGTACAGACGGGGTTTCACTGTCTTGGTCAGGCTGGTCTCGAACTCCTGACCTCATGATCCACCCACCTCAGCCTCCCAGAGTGCTGGGATTATAAGCGTGAGCCACCGTGCCCGGCCAGTTTTTATTTTTTTATACACATTTTCAAAAATGTAAAGGTGGTGTAACTAAACAAATATTGAAGAAAGAGTTTGACCTAAAATTTGGGCAGCATTTGGTAGACTGAACATTGTGTAAGATTTGGTTCTTAGCTTTGCAATCACAGAAACTGAATTTTAACAGGATAACCAGAATTTATTTACCTCTAGGGATTTTGTGCCTACTGACCGCGGCATATCAATCTATGGCCATTGGTAACGGAAGGAGTTATCTATTAATTCATTAATTTACCATATTATACAGGCAAAGAGACCAAAATAATGATAAGCAGTAGTCAGTACATGCTCTCACCTTATGGGAAAGTCTGAAAACTTACTGTTAGAAGGATTTTAACTAAAGAAATCAAAGCATGGGAGTTGGATTATTTTATTAGCTGAGATTTTAAAATTATAATTGTAAGGCCGGGCACGGTGGCTTATGGTTATAAACCCAGCACTTTGGGAGGCTGAGGCCGGTGGATCATTTGCAGTCAGGAGTTCAACACCAGCCTGGCCAACATGGTGAACCCCTGTCTCTACTAAAAATACAAAAATTAGCTGGGTGTGGTGGTGCACACCTGTAATCCCAGCTCCTTGGGAGGCTGAGGCAGGAGAATCGCTTGAACCTGGGAGGCACAGGTTGCAGTGAACCAAGATCATGCCACTGCACTTCAGCTTGGGCAACAGAGTGAGACTCCATCTCATAAATAAATAAATATTGGTTTGTGCAAGCCAATCTCTATAAGATTGTCACCAACCTGGGTAACAGAGTGAGACTCTATCTCAAAAAAGTAAAAAATGATATAATGCAGATTGAGAGGGTTATGGTTTCTTTACCTTAGTGTTTACAGTGTTGTCTTCTCAAATATATCATGATGTCATGATGGAGAATAGAGAAATGTGATGCTCATCAGTAAACATTTATGAACCTTTTTGGAATTGACTATTTCTGCATGTAGCCTCCATTTTGTATTGTTTTTCACTGCCGTTTTAGAGCATTATTTTATTATCTTGGTTCCTCCAGATTGAGAATGCACTCTATTTGGAGCTTACTCAGCTACATAAGATTATTTTAGTGCTCATAAATGTATTCATTTTGCATAATCTCTGAACAGATTAAAATATCTGTGGTATGGCAAAGTTTCCATTCTAGTGGAGTAAAATATAGGTTTCTTAGCTAGGAATGTATATTTGGTGAGTAGTGGGTAATGCTTAAGGTCACAGGCAGCTTTGTTTTTAAAGCCTGCTCCACCACTTACCGCTTTCCTTGGGTGAACCAAATCACTTAACCTACCTAAACCCAGGCCTCCTCATCTTTGTAAAATGCCTAAATTTCAAGATGTTAACTGCAATTAAGATTATTTTCCTGATAATGTATGTTTTCATGGGCTCCTTTTTATTCAGCTAAACATGAATTCAGCTCCAACTTTCATCAACTTTCCGGCAAAAGGGAAACCCAAACGGGGTGATACATATGAGTTACAGGTGCGGGGTTTTTCAGCTGAGCAGATTGCCCGGTGGATCGCCGACAGAACTGATGTCAATGTAAGTTTCCCAACTTTGTAGACTGTTTCTTGGCCATTATCCCCTTTGAATCTTACTGGGAGGCCCTAATTAGTCTTGTCCCCATATCACTGAGGTGGCACTAGTTTGTCAGTCCCTTCATAAGTAGCATTGAACAGAATCATCTTGATGAATGAGTGAAATTGCAAAACACTCTCTGTTACCCTATTCAACATGGAAACCACTCTTTCGATCTTCTTAAGTCCGTGGGTTATCTAGTTGCACCTGGCGAATCCTTCTTAATCTAAAAGATGTTATGTTGTGGTTAAATAGAATATTGTACCTATTCTGTCCTATTTTAGGTTACATTATAGACTATTTTGATTGGGATAAAATAAAAAGAATCATTTTTCTGAAAGTAACCACACTAATTTTGATTGCTTTCACTTCAGATTTTATTTTGACCCATATAACTAGTAAAAAATTTTATACTTTAATATGTTTTTCTCTCCTTTCCATTAGATTAGAGTGATTAGACCCCCAAATTATGCTGGTCCCCTTATGTTGGGATTGCTTTTGGCTGTTATTGGTGGACTTGTGTATCTTCGAAGAAGCAATATGGAATTTCTCTTTAATAAAACTGGATGGGCTTTTGCAGCTTTGGTGAGTGAATTTTAGAAGACAAAAAATTATTTGAATAAAACTAATAATGTATTTTTAGATAAACTTTTATTTATATGAGAAGTAGCATTTTATTTCTTACCTGAGGAAAATAGTTTTATGTATTTTTATTTTCTGTCTTAAAATCATTTTGTTTCATTCATTATCTCATTAGGATGGCCAGAACTTCAAGGAACTGATTATACCTGCCTTTTATTCAACCTAAATGACAGACTGTCATCTCTATGAAAATCTCTAGTTGTTCTGGAAATATTGTTCTTTTTTTTTCTGAGACGGAGTCTTGGTCTGTTGCCCAGGCTGGAGTGCAGTGGTGCCATCTCGGCTCACTGCAACCTCTGCTTCCTGGGCTCAAGCGATTCTCCTGCCTCAGCCTCTCTCGAGTAGCTGGGATTATAGGTGCGTGCCACCACGCCCAGATAATTTTTTTGTATTTTTAGTACAGACGGGGTTTCATCCTGTTGGCCAGGCTGGTCTTGAACTCCTGGCCTCAGGTGCTCTGCCCACCTTGGCCTCCCAAAGTGCTGGGGTTACAGGCATGAGCCACCATGTCCAGCCTGAAAATATTACTCTAAAACGCCTTTTCACTGTTCAATTTTGAAACTTGTGTCTGCATAGTTATAATTTTTAAATAGTGTTTTCCTGGTCTGGCACGGTGGCTCATGCCTATAATCCCAGCACTTTGGGAGGCTGAGGCGGGCGGATCACAAGGTCAAGAGACCGAGATGAACCTGGCCAACATGGTGAAACCCTCTGTACTAAAAATACAAAAATTAGCTGGGCGTGGTGGCGTGCATCTGTAGTCCCAGCTACTCGGGAAGCTGAGGCAGGAGAATCGCTTAAACTTGGGAGGTGGAGGTTGCAGTGAGCCGAGATCGTGCCACTACACTCCAGCCTGCCGACAGAGTGAGACTGCATCTAAAAAAATATATATGTGTATATGGTGTTTTCCTTTGAAGTATTACCGAATTGTGATCCTTGGGATGAAATATAAGCCTTAATCAATAAATGATTTATCTGCAAAAAATTCTATGTCTTATCTAAACAGATGCACATTTTCATATTTCTATTATCTAATCAAGACAAGGACAGTTTGACCATGAATATTTTATTATTTTTTGTTTCCTAGTGTTTTGTGCTTGCTATGACATCTGGTCAAATGTGGAACCATATAAGAGGACCACCATATGCCCATAAGAATCCCCACACAGGACATGTGGTAAGGGAAGTCTGGGATTTCTTTCCTTTTGTAGACCAAAGTTAACTCAATGATTATTACATTGTGAGAACAGTGCCAGCATATGAAGGAGCTGGATTTAGTCTTCACTTTTCAGTCTCTCTGTGTTAACAAGCTTCCATCACTGATAAGACCATGCAGTGCTTTTTTTTTTTTTTTTTGAGACGGAGTTTCGCTCTTGTTGCCCAGGCTGGAGTGCAATGGCATAATCTCGGCTCACTGCACCCTCCACCTCCCTGGTTCAAGTAATTCTCCTGCCTCAGCCTCCTGAGTAGCTGGAATTACAGGCATGCGCCACCACGCCCAGCTAATTTTGTATTTTTAGTAGAGACAGGGTTTCTCCATGTTGGTCAGGCTGGTCTCAAACTCCCAACCTCAGGTGATCCACCTGCCTCAGCCTCCCAAAGTGCTGGGAATATAGGCCTGCAGGCATGAGCCACTGCACCCGGCCGCAGTGCTTTTGAAAGTGGGAAATTCCTTTCCCATTTGGTGAATCCTTCTAACCAAGCTGGCTAAGAATGAAAGACAGCCTTCAACTAAATAGAAAATTTGATCAAGTACCTGAGCATCCTCTGTTTCTAAGCACTGTGCTAAGTGTTATTAAATATAGTGAAAAACAAGAAAAACGTGATCCCTGTCTTCATGGAGCCTACATTATTGTACCTCATGGTCTTGTACACTTAAATACTAGTTTTCCCACCCAGGTGCAGTGTTTTGCATTTGTAGTCCCAGCTACTTGGGAGGCTGAGGCAGGAGGATGACTTGAATCCAGGAGTTCTAGCCCAGCCTGAACAACATAGCAAGATCCATCTCCTTTTAAAAAAAAAAAAAAAAAAACAAGGCCAGATGTGGTGACTAATACCTGTAATCCTGGCACTTTGGGAGACTGAGGCAGGAGGACTACTTGAGGCCAGGAGTTCAAGACCAACTTGGGCAGCATAGTGAGATGCCATCTCTATGAAAAAGAAAAGAGAAAAACAACTAGTTTTCTGACATATTCTATTGTTGAAAATGTAAGTACAATATCCAAGCATTTGGGAGGCTGAAGTGGGAGGATTGCTTGAGCCCAGGAGTTTGAGACCAGCCTGGCCAACATAGCAAGATCTCATTTCTAATAAAAATTTAAAAATTAGTTGAGCAGGCATGGTGGTACATACTTGTAGTCCCATCTACTTGGGATGCTGAGGCAGGAGGATCGCCGGAGCCAGGACTTTGGGGTTGCAATGAGCTATGATCATGCTACTGCACTCCAGCCTGGGCAGCAGAGCAAGACCTTGTCTCAAAAATAAACATAGTATTAGTACAATGAAAAGACAAATAGAGAAGAGATAATACAAAAATAGCTTTATAGTAACCAAACTTACTGATGAATGCCAGAGACCCAGAGTATGTCACATGGTTTATCAGGTGAATTAATAATTTCATAGTTTAAAATATCCCGTTTTAGGGTTAGCATACCAACATTTAACGTATACCTAAAGATTCCATTTTGTCTGTTTTCCCTCCTAGAATTATATCCATGGAAGCAGTCAAGCCCAGTTTGTAGCTGAAACACACATTGTTCTTCTGTTTAGTATCCTTTTACAATAAGTCTTTCTTACTGTATTTTGTCTGTTTTCTCACAGTCTAGTATTGTCTCTACAGCATTCGGCTGGGGCTGTTCTCTTAATGCAGGTCACGATATCCTTTGAAAATCATTACTGTGTCATCCTCTCCAGCCCAAAAAACTAAAGACTACTAGGAACAAATCTGTAGTCTGATAGGGCCAGGTTTATTGGCTTATTAATACAAGGACGACTGTACATTAGAAGAACCATGGAACATCTTAACAAAGAAAAGATAGAGTTGTAATAGAATTTGGGAGAATAGTGGAGTTTATGTGAAATTTAAACAAAGCATTGTTTTGATAGGCTAAAAGCAGTGTAAGACTGTGTAAAGGGGTCAACATCAGGTCTGAACTGTGAAGCAGACCCAGGGTTCTGTTTTCTTGGAAACTACAAAGTTAACATAAATGTGGAATTTTTGTCTTCAAAAACTTCTTCTTTGAAGCTCTATACCTTGGTTGTAAATTGAGGCTACTTAGAAATTATACTTGTAAATTGAGTGACTTAGATCTGCCAAGCAAGAATATTTCATTTTTACTCACATAATTGCAAGAAGTCTATTTAAAGACCAATATTCCTCAGTAAGAAAACAGTAGTTACTCAGAGATGGGGGATATTTTGACATTTTACAGCTGAAGTGTGTGCTAGGGAAAAATTCTTCCTGTGGACTTTGCAGCTGCTTTATGTGTGTGTTGTTCCATCCTCTTGAATGACAGGGAATATTTTTACTTTCTTGGCCTGAGCTAATTTTTATTTTCTTACATCTAAAAGTGGATGCCTCTGTAAGCTGCAAAGACAGGTAAAAGCAATGTCAGATAAGTAAGAATCTAAATTTCATAATATTGCTAAACATAGTTTACCCACCTGAATACATAAGCACTGACTGGAACAAATCAATAAGGCGAACAAATGTAATGTTCCTGGAATTGTGCTTCTCAGCCAGGGTGTCCTGACATTGATATACTAGAATCAGCTGGGCGTGGTGGCTCACACCTGTAATCCTAGCACTTTGGGAGGCTGTGATAGGTAGATTGCTTGAGCCCTGGAGTTTAAGACCAGCCTGGGCAACATGGCAAAACCTCATCTCTACAAAACAGTGCACACAAGAAAATTAGCCAAGTATGGTGATGCATGCCTATGGTCCCAGCTACCAGGGAGGCTGAGGTGGGAGGATCGCTTGAGCCCAGGAGGTCAAGGCAACAGTGAGCCGATATCACACCACTGCACTCCAGCCTGGATGACACAGTGAAACCCTGTCTCTAATAAAAAGAAAAAAAAAATGAAAATTAAATATATATTTTTTCTGATTGCAAAAGGAATACAGATTAAATTTAGAAAATACAAATAAGTATAAAGAAAAAATTCAAAATCACTGAAAATTCTGTCTTTAGTAAATGTTTGTGTATGTCTTTCCCAGTTTTATTATACTATGTTGATGATTAGAGATTTTAAGGAAAACATTCTAAAAAAAATTAAGCTTTTGATTTTAACTGATTTTAATTGAAGGATATTTGGGAAAATATTCTTATGCACCGTGGAAAATATACTTACTGCTTAACATCCAGCCCAAACCTAGGAGAGTTAATCGATTCAACCATGAAATGGTGAACTGAAAGATTAACAATATATACCTAGTCCATATGAGAAGAAAGAAGACTGAGACCAGGCGCGGTGGCTCATGCTGTAATCCCAGCACTTTGGGAGGCCAAGGCAGGTAGATCACCTGAGATCAGGAGTTCGAGACCAGCCTGGCCAACATGATGAAACCCCATCTCTACTAAAAATACAAAAAAAATTTGCTGGCCGGGTGCGGTGGCTCACGCCTGTAATCCCAGCACTTTGGGAGGCCGAGGCAGGCGGATCACAAGGTCAGGAGATCGAGACCATCCTGGCTAACACAGTGAAACCCCATCTCTACTAAAAATACAAAAAATTAGCCGGGCGCTGTGGCGACGCCTGTAGTCCCAGCTACTCGGGAGGCTGAGGCAGGAGAATGGCGGGAACCCGGGAGGCGGAGCTTGCAGTGAGTGGAGATCTGGCCACTGCACTCCAGCCTGGGCGACAGAGCAAGACTCCGTCTCAAAAAAAAAAAAAAAAAAAAAAAATTGCTGAACCCACTGGTGGCGGGTGCCTGTAATCCCAGTTACTCAGGAGGCTGAGGCAGGAGAATCTCTTGAACCTGGGAGGCGGGGGTTGAAGTGAGCAGAGATTGTGTGATTGCTCTCCAGCCTGGGCAATAAGAGTGAAACTCCATCTCGGGGTAAAAAAAGACTGAAAGAAAAATATTACCCAAACTTTATTTTTTTAATCCTGAAATTTACTTGAAAATGTTCGTTTATGGACTGGGCTTGGTGGCTCACGCCTGTAATCCCAGCACTCTGGGAGGTGGAGGCAGGCAGATCGTTTGAGGTCAGGAATTTGAGGCCAGCCTGGCCGACATGGTGAAAGCCCGTCTCTACCAAAAATACAAAACTTAGCCAGGCAGCCAGGCGTGCTGCCTCACACCTGTAATCCCAGCACTTTGGGAGGCCGAGGCAGGCAGATCACCTGAGATCAGGAGTTCAAGACCAGCCTGGCCAACATGGTGAAACCCTGTCTCTATTAAAAATACAAAAATTAGCTGGGCATGGTGGTGCACGCCTGTAATCCCAGCTACTGGGGAGGCTGAGGCCAGAGAATTGCTTGAACCTGGGAGGCAGAAGTTGCAGTGAGCCGAGATGGTGCCACTGCACTCCAGCCCGGATGACAGAGTGAGACTGTCTCAAAAGAAAAAAAAAGAAAGAAAATCTTCATTTATAGTTTCATGAATTCAGCCTGGCCAACATGGCGAAACCTCATCTCCACAAGAAATACAAAAATTAGCCAGGAACGGTGGTGTGCACCTATAATTCCATCTACTCAGGAGGCTGAGGCATGGGAATTGCTTGAACCCAGGAGGTGGAGGTTGCAGTAAGCCAAGACTGCCACTGCACTCCAGCCTGGGCAACAGAGTGAGACTGTCTTAAAGGGAAAAAAAAGAACAGAAAAGTATGGTTTGGTGGACTAACAAATTATTGGTTTGATGGATTAACAAATTATTACACCTTGGAAATTTTCCGGATCTTGAATCAATTCGTCTCACTAGTACTTTGAAATTGAATAATGGAGCAAAAGAGCAATTAAAATTGTAAAATATTAATTAGTTGATTTGGGTTTTGTTCGTCTTTTAGCTTTGTCTTAAACTTTTAAACATATAAGAAGTTTAAGAAATTAGAAAATTGTCATTTTACCTCTCCCTAAAGATTGAGCATTAGCCTAAGGTTTCGTATACATTTGGAACAGATTGCAAGCCTGTTGGGATATAGAATGTCTTGTGTTTGGTTATTAGGATGCAAAAAGTGAACTTTTTTCAGGGTCAGACATATATACAGATTGTAAGACAGTGACTTAAGTGCTGTGTACCAGAAATAGTGAGAAAATGAATAATTTTGTCAGAAGTAAGGAATATTAGGGAAGGCTTAACCACTCCCCAATCCCCTTTTTTTTTTTGAGTGGAGTCTCGCTCTGTTGCCCCGACTGGAGTGCAGTGGCACCATCTTGGTTCACTGCAACCTCCACCTCCTGGATTCAAGCGATCCTCCTGCCTCAGCCTCCCGAGTACCTGGGATTACAGACGTGTACCACCACGCCTGACCCTTCTTTCTTTTTTATTTATTTATTTAGTTAGTTTTTTGTTTTGAGACGGAGTCACACTGTGTTGCCCAGGGTGGAGTGCAGTGGCATGATCCCAGCTCACTGCAACCTCCACCTCCTGGGTTCAAGCGATCCTCCTGCCTCAGCCTCCTGAGTAGCTGGGATTACAGGCGTGCACCACCAAACCCGGCTAATTTCTTTATTTTTAGTAGAGACAGGGTTTCACCAGGTTGGCCAGGCTGGTCTTGAACTCCTGACCTCAGGTGATCCACCCGCCTCGGCCTCCCAAAGTGCTGGCATTTCAGGCGTGAGCCACCGCACCCGGCCCCCACTTTCTTTTAAAGTAAATATGAAACCTCAAGACCAGTAACATTGTTTACAGCTTCCAGGTTGATAAGAATTAATAGACTGAGACCACCTCTCAGTAGTAGTTATGATTTTGGAAAATATTCACGTTTATTATTAGTTTAATGTTGTACAATTTATTGCATGATTAATAAAGCAGACTATATAATCAGTTGCCTGATCTAAGCAACCTTTAAAATTACATTTTAAGTGTTGCAATTATACAGAAAAGTTTACAAAAGTTTACAGTTTGATGAATTTCCTTTTTTGTTTGTTTGGTTTTTTTTGTTTGTTTTTGAGATGGAGTCTTGCTCTGTTGCCCAGGCTAGAGTGCAATGGTGTGATCCCAGCTCACTGCAACCTCCACTTCCCAGGTTCAAGCGATTCTCCTGCCTCTGCCTCTGGAGTAGCTAGAATTACAGGCACCTGCCACCACGCCTGGCTAAGTTTTTTTGGTATTTTTAGTAGAGACGGGGTTTTACCACGTTGGCCAGGCTGGTTTCGAACTCCTGAGCTCTACTGATCCACCCGCCTCGGCCTCCCAAAGTGCAAGGATTACAGGCGTGAGCCACGGTGCCCAGCCCAGTTTGATGAATTTTCGCAGAATGAACACACTTATGTAACCAGAACTAACATCAATAAATAAAATTTTACCCACATCTCAGAGCATTCTCCATCATCATTCCTCCTGATTGCCACCTTCCCACCCAGAAGTAACTGCTATCCTGACTGCTAACACTATAGGTTTATTTTACCTATTTTTGTTAACTTACATAAATGGAATCCTACAGGACTGGGTGTGGTGGCTCATGCCTGTAATCCCAGCACTTTGGGAGGCCGAGTTGGGCATATCACCTGAGGCCAGGAGTTCGAGAGCAGCCTGGCCAACATGGCGAAACCCTTTCTCTAGTAAAAAAATAATACATAAATTAACTGAGTGTGGTGCTGCATGCCTGTAGTCCCAACTACTTGGGAGGCTGAGGCAGGAGGGTGGCTCAAGTCCAGGAGGTGAAAGTTTCAGTGAGCTGAGATTGCACCACTGCACTCCAGCCTGGCTGATAGAGCCAGACCTAGTCTCAAAATACAAAAAAAGAAAGAAAGAGAGAGAGAGAGAGAGAGAAAAGAAAGAAAGAAAACACAGTAAATGGAATCCCACAATAAATGTATTTGGATTTTTTTATTATTATTATTATTTAAGAGATTTAAAGAGGTTGTGTTGCCCAGGCTGGAGTGCAGTGGAGTCACCATAGCTTGCTGTAACCTCAACCTCCCAGAATCAAGCAGTCCTCCCACATCAGCCTCCCAAGTAGCTGGGACTATAGGTGTGCACTACTGCACCTAGCTAATTTTTGTATTTTTTCTAGAGACGGAGTCTCGCCCTGTCATCCATCCTGGTCTCAATCTCCTGGGCTCAAACAATCCTCGTACCTTGGCCTCCTGAATTTTTAAAATAAAGTAGCAGTATGGAAAATGTTCACCTTTAACCTGAAACCTTAATGGTATAAACTACGTTTACTTTTGCATATTCTCTTGCATTCATTTCTGTATGAATGTTTCATGGTAAGGGTGTTCATGTTTTATACTTATAGACATGTTTTGCATGGAGTTTGCTATCTTAATATAAGCATTTTCTATGTTGTATGGCCTTTATATTTATAAAAATACATAAAAATTACAAAGAAATCTGAAAATACAAAGAAAAAGAAAAGTAGTCAATATTCTTAATATTTATATAATGGATATATCATATCCATGTTACCCAGGCTGGTCTTGAACTCCTGACGTCAGGTGATCCACCCGCCTTGGCCTCCCAAACTGCTAGAATTACAAGCATGAGCCACCACACCTGGCCTTCTAGTAGCTTTTAATAGCCTAGTTGTTGTATGTTAATGGAATACTGTCTCTATTTCTGCTCAGTTCTCCTGGAGTAACATTTAATCAGGACTGTGTAATGTATGTATTTCATTGTTTGTATTCCTCACTAGAGTGTAATCTTCTTCATGGTAGGATCTTTATTTTGTTCAAGTTTTTATTTCTAACACTTTATAGTGCCTGCCATATAGTAGGCAGTGTTAGTAAAAATTTAAAGATGCAATAAATGAAATAAAACAGTATACACTGAAGTGCATCATAGCTGTTGACAGCTAAGAAGAGTACACAAAAGACCAATGGAAAGCTCATTCAAAGCAAAAGCACATAAACCGTGATACAAAGACAAGCTTTCCCCAGAACAAGTCTCGATCATTAATCAGAGAGTACCCAGTAATCAAAGCCTATAGAAATGATCAATCTTTGGCCGGGCATGGTGGCTCATGCCTGTAACCCCAGTACTTTGAGAAGCCGAGGTGAGTGGATCACCTGTGGTCAGGAGTTCGAGACCAGCCCGGCCAACATGGCGAAACCCAGTCTCTACTCAAAATACAAAAATTAGCCAGGCGTGGTGGCATGGGCCTATAATCCCAGCTACTCGGGAGGCGGAGGAAGGAGAATTTATTGAACCCGGGAGGCAGAGGTTGCAGTGAGCCGAGATGGTGCCACTGCACCCCAGCCTGAGTGACAGAGCAAAACTCCAAAAAAAAAAAAAAAAAGAGAGAGAGAGAAAGAAAGGAAAGAAAGAAAGAATCAATCTTTACACAAACTTGCAGATAAATAACTCAGAAAAAATTGCTAGAGAAGAGACTTGGCTGAACAACTGAAAACATGATGAATGGGCATCATCCCTAACAAGAGGCTATTGAAGAAAGAACGCAAAATGGGGCACAGGCACATTGGTTCACGCCTGTAATTCCAGCACTTTGGGAGGCCGAGGCTGGAGAATTGCTTGAGCCCAGGAGTTTGAGACCGGCCTGGGCAACATAGTGAGACCCTGTCTCTACAAAAAAAAAATCAACAAAACAAACCTGGCATGGTGGCATGCACCTGTAGTCCTAGCTACTCAGGAGGCTGAGGCAGGAGAATCTCTTGAGCCTGGGAGGTGGAGGTTGCAGTGAGTTGTTATTGTGCCACTGCACTCCAGCCTGGGTGACAGAGTGAGACCCTGTCTCAAATAAATAAATAAAATAAAAAATTTTTTAAAAGAATGCAAGATGGTAATGAAGGGATGAAAAGTCAAATTTTAGAGCCAATTATAAATTCAGACATAGAGCCAATTATAAATTCAGGCCTCATCTAAACACATGTTTTTCCCTTTCTGCTTAATGATACCACATGTGGTAACATACGACATATATGTACATATGCGTAATTGATTTGGGAGTGTTTTACTGCTGTTAGTATTCCCTAAACTTCAGGGTGGATCTGTCAGTCTTTTCTACTAAAATACATTCTATTTGCTTTAAAATTTGAATTTGCTTATTTTAACATTCAACCATGCCATCTGTTACCTATTTGTGTGGTTAGTTCTATTTTGTATTTATGCAGCTCCTATTAAGGTGAATAAAAGTGTGGTCATGGCACATGTGGGATTTTTCCTTTTTTCTTTTTTTGAGACAAAGTCTCGTCCTGTTACCCAGGCTGGAGTACAGTGGTGCCATCTCGGCTCACTGCAACCTCTGCCTCCTGGGTTCAAGTGATTCTCCTGCCTCAGCCTCCCGAGTAGGTGGGATTACAGGCGCCTGCCACCACGCCTGGCTAAGTTTTTTTGGTATTTTTAGTAGAGACGGGGTTTTACCATGTTGGCCAGGCTGGTTTCGAACTCCTGAGCTCTACTGATCCACCCGCCTCGGCCTCCCAAAGTGCAAGGATTACAGGCGTGAGCCACGGTGCCCAGCCCAGTTTGATGAATTTTCGCAGAATGAACACACTTATGTAACCAGAACTAACATCAATAAATAAAATTTTACCCACATCTCAGAGCATTCTCCATCATCATTCCTCCTGATTGCCACCTTCCCACCCAGAAGTAACTGCTATCCTGACTGCTAACACTATAGGTTTATTTTACCTATTTTTGTTAACTTACATAAATGGAATCCTACAGGACTGGGTGTGGTGGCTCATGCCTGTAATCCCAGCACTTTGGGAGGCCGAGTTGGGCATATCACCTGAGGCCAGGAGTTCGAGAGCAGCCTGGCCAACATGGCGAAACCCTTTCTCTAGT